AATGTTCAAGAAGCCAGTTTGAGATGATTTGTGACACGGTGGGTATAAAGGACGGACAGTAACAATACTCATCTGACAGGAGTGCCACCTGGTGTGGTCTTCTGCCACTGAGTGTTCAGCAATGCTCTTCTGCATATGCCAGAAAGTTTATTCTGTTCTGTTAGAAACAAAAATTTTAATAAAGTTTCTTTTTAACATGAATTTCAATGTATGGTTATAATAGAGTTGGTACACTCGTTATTAGAAAATTGCAAGTATTTAACGCCATGGTGTGAAGGGTTGGGCGTTGAAGGTAGACTGGTACACACTAACACTAATACAGATCACAATCAGAGAGAACCTGCCTTAGGAATGGATGGCGGTTATGGTAGGATGGTGTTTCTGTGCTGGCGATGGCACAGAAACTGTAAGGTGTTGGGTTAAAGCTGACACCAACGTAGAGGAAAACATATAGATATAAAACATGTCAGGTAACATCTGTAGAGGTATGCGGAAGGCCCATGAAGCTTGGTTTGAACTTCAGCAGGTCGTCTTGACCACGTCTACATGCCTAAATGCTCTGAGTTGCAGCCATGTGAATGAATTATTAGATATCTGTGTTAAGGAGCAGTTTAAGACGTGTACCTAATAAAGTGACCGGTTAGCCATGGTTGTCATCTTACCTCGACAGTGCCTGTCCCCCTGGCCAGTATATAGCCCAGTAGGGGTCATCAAAGGGCCATAGCTCCGGTCTCTCTCGCCAGAATCTGCATCGGGGGGTGAATAACCTCAGCCTGATCTCAGGAGTCAGGCTCTGCTCTCCTGTTATCTCCGTGTTTTCTATAATAAACTTCCTGATGTGCTCAGCAGATGGATAGACATTTGAGAGGTATCTGTGTCCTTGTGTCTGCGTAAACACTTTGTAAATAAGTTTACCATGGCGGCTGCATTGCAGGGGCATTAAAAGCGCTGCTGACATTATAACAAAGCAGAGATAAAAGCAGCTAGACTAATGTTAGCGAGGCTTTCAGTCCCATTAGCCTCATAACTGCATTTTTGGAGAGGCTTTTACTATTTCTCGTTGAAGCTAACAGTTGTAGCCTGTTATTTGTAAAGCGTGACTCTTCAAAACCTCACAATGGTGCAACAATCAAGTTAACAAGGTCAAAACAAAACAGATAACACGATCCTTGCTGCTTCCCACACGAATGCAAAACAAGGTCGGACGAAGCTTCCTTCGACCGTCTGGAAACAACACACAGACTCTCGGTTCCGCTAAAAACAATTCCTACCAGTGGTTTATATGCAGTATTAATGTAATTTTAGCTAATGATAGGCGTGCATTTATTATCTATTTATGGTATATATAGTGTTTTTCTCTCTCAGTCAGTGTAATTGGGTTTGTGGACACGCTATTCCAAGTAATACATACCTCCCCCGTCAGAGCATATTAAAGTACAAAAGTGCAACTTGACCAAATTAATTTTAAAACAGTAAAACATAATTAGAACATATATATATGGGTGGGAAAACCGTGATTGTCTTGAACAATTACAGGTTTCTGCTCATTATTAATGTTTCCTTTTTTAAATTGAATTAGAAATTGAACAGATTCATGTTGGTCTATGTAACTCAACTCCACTGATCCTATTTTACCTACTGGTAAAAAGCCTATTTTTGCAGTTTTTCTTTCACCTGATGCATGCATATTATGTCTCTCTGTCCATCTTAGACAGACATATCACAGCTATTACTTTTGTTCCTACTGGATTTAGAATAAACTTTAGATCAGGGAACATTTCCTGATCAGGATGCAATTCTACGTGGCATCTAGGATGAAAAAGTCAAAATGAGATTTGATGCCCTGCACATTACTGATCACTATTTGTGTGTAAAATAAGTAATGATTAATCAGTGGCAGCTATGTTTTGCAGGACCTGGTCATGTACAGCTGCTATCAGTCTCCTGCCACCTGCCACTAGATGTTACACTAAAGGAGAAACAACAAATTAGTCATAGGGATGTGCAATCTCCAGCTGCGGCGTAGCCCTTGCGGCCATCTGTCAGGTGACTCAATTATGTCAATTAGCCAGTCTTGAACTAGGGAAAAATAATCTGGCAGAATATTTTCATAAAACAAAAAACAGTTAGGAGTTTGCACAACAAAATAAGACGCTCAAAACAAATAAAAACAAAGCCATTCAAAACCTTTAAGACACAAAAAGTTAAACCACAATAAGAAATAAAAACATGCAAGTCACAGAGCTCGCCTGGTTGAGGCAGTGGCCCATGTGCTGAAGGCTACAGTCCATATTGCATGCCCTGGGTTTGAGTCTCAGTTTGATACTCAGTTTGAGGCTGCCTCAGACTATTTGCTGTGTCATTTCCCCTGCCTTGCTTATTGTCCTGCCCAGTTATTACCAATAAAAGCAAAAGCCTCATGTTCTAAAAACCCTTTATCTTACAATTCTTTCTTTCTTCCAAAATCAAGTTTTTCACCATCTTGATGGACAATGAGCCACACAATCAAAGCTATTTATATGTTGTCTCACCTCTAATTTGCAGGCAGAAGACAGCTTGAGAAAATATAGACTATTTTTGCAAAACAGAGGATAAAATGTACAGTAATATGAATAGGATTTTATAAAGAGAAACAAAAAGATTAAAATTAATAATAAAAAACATCAATAATTAAAATGATAAAAGAACAAAGTATTTTGCCCAGCATCCCGGTCATGTTTGCAGTACAAACGAAAGCAAGTGCTTTACCTAGTTATCTTCACTAAAGTATTTACTTCAAATGAATAGAGTGAAAAACAACAGTGCGTATATGATCGGGTGGTTTACTGAGACACAGTCATACATTATGTGCAGTTTATCTGGTGGCAGAGGGGACTGCAGCCCGAGGCTTCAATTATAGCGCCTCTTATGTTCTCATCTTGTGAGAAAGTATTGCTTTTTGATGGAGAAGGTGGAGGAGTCCTAATGGATAGTCGTCTTCTTGTCATTGAATTTACCCAGAGCTGACCCCTGTGGCCTAGACTGGCGCATCCACAGATCTGCTCGGGGATTGTGTTTACAGATGGCTGCTGTCTATCACAGCTAGCGGGTGTAGCGAGTTGATTTCATATTGGAATTGCAACCTTGAGGCCCCGGTCTATGAGTCAGTGTGGAAATGGCGCAGCAATTTGATCACACTCTGCACACGGAGAAGATCACATATACCTTTGTTCTCCATTATACTGGCTGTGCTTCAGTCATCTTTTTATAGCATCATGTATGATTTGCTTGTTCAACAGACCTGAAATTTAACAGTTTAAAAAGCAATTCGTAGCCTCTGTTCACTGAAACAGGAAGATACTTTTGGCACATGGGAATGAGAATTCAAAGCAAAAGGTTTTCTGTTTTTAGTAATGTATACACAGAGCATGAAGAAAAAAAGAAAAAATGACAAGAATGAGAACAGACAACAGAATCAAGTTGATAAAGTCTACTAGAAATGTTTCCATTATAATTTTTGTGATGTTTGGCTTCTTTTTCACCGAGTTAATCACAGTTATGTTAGTATGAGAAGTGCTTTCTACAGCTCTCCCAGCAGAAACTCTAAACTGTTTTT